CCTCCTCCTCCTTCTTCTTCTTCTTCTTCTTCTTCAACATGTATTTATTTTTGAGAGGGAAAGAGACGGAGTGTGAGCAGGGGAGGGGCAGAGAGAGGGGGAGACACAGAATCCGAAGCAGGCTCCAGGCTCTGAGCTGTCAGCACAGAGCCTGATTCAGGGCTTGAACTGACAAACTGCCAGATCATGACATGACCTAAAGTTGGATGCTTAACCTAACCAACTGAGCCGTCCAGGCACCCCCAACAGTTTCTCTTAAGGCCAGCAAGAGGGCAGAGCCCTCTGGAAAAGAAATCACTTTATAAGAAAAGCACATGAATCTGGACGAATGAATGAACACAGCTCTTCTCAGCTGCCACCTTCCCCAGGTTCTCGCGGTGCCCTGAAGGTGCCCGCCGTTGTTCCACCCTGGTTCCTGGCTTTAATCCCAGCTCGGACCACTGATCTCCCACTCGCTGAGGAAGCGGGGTCCTTCTGCCTCACGATTCCCCCCTGACATCTTGGTGCCACCCTGGCCTCCTGGCCCCTCTCTCCCGCCCGATTTCAGCAGAGCGGCACGCGAGGGATGTGGCCTTCGCAGCCAGAGGCTTGGGTTCAACCGCTACTCGGCCCCCTCTGAGCTACGCTTTCCTAATCTGTAAAACGGGGATAATGCTCCCTGCCTTGAAGGTCATTGTGTGGGAAACAGGATTCTATGTACCAGTGGCCTTGCAGCTCCAAAGCCCCGTCCAGACGTTCTGGCATCGGCCTTGCACTATTCTTTCCCACCTTCTGCTCCTCATAATGGTTGCAGGCTGCATCTAATCAGCTTGCTTTCTGAGTTTCTCCAAACAACTTCCCCTCTCCCTTTCCTCCTCCCTGTCCTCAGCCGATGCCACCGGGCCCCCTGCCAGGGGCGCTGACGTTTCCCAACCTCACTCCCATCCCTCTGTCTCAATAGCGGCGTGTTCAGAATCCTCATTTATCTCCACTGGGCCGCAGCCCAGTCCCCACCGTGGAACGACCTGTCAACCCTGAGCAAGACTGTCGTCCATAGCGGGAAAAGATTTTACAAATTCCACTGATGATTTTTTTGAATGTGAAACAAAAAATTAAGCTTTACTAATTTATATCCTTGCTTGGTCTCTATGGCAGACTGTGGGATGTCGTGTTTGGCCTGTGGAGTGTCCTCAGGGAAGAGAAGGTTCCAGAAAAACATGGCACCTCCTCTTGTTTGTGTCTGGCCTATCACAACACGTAACCCACAACAGTGCTGGGTTTACGGGGTCTTTCAATTATGTTGTCAGGTTTTAACGAAAACAACCCTCACCACGGGGAGAAGTGACTCTAAAAAAAAATTCCTGCAAAGAAACAGGATTCAAAATAATACTAATAGCATAATCGCCAAGTAATGATTTTTTTTTGTTTTAATTCAATGCTGCCGCTTCTCCTCTGACATGTAATCAACCATGTTCCAAAGTAAAAATGATCAGGACCTCTCACACATGACCCAAAATGGACCCCAGAGTCCAAATGATCAAGAAGGCTGTATGAAATAATATATCGTTAATAACAGACTTTGCCCTGGGGGCGCCTGAGTGACTCCATTGGTTAAGAGTCCAACTCTTGGGGCGCCTGGGTGGCGCAGTCGGTTAAGCGTCCGACTTCAGCCAGGTCACGATCTCGCGGTCCGTGAGTTCAAGCCCCGCGTCGGGCTCTGGGCTGATGGCTCAGAGCCTGGAGCCTGCTTCCGATTCTGTGTCTCCCTCTCTCTCTGCCCCTCCCCCGTTCATGCTCTGTCTCTCTCTGTCCCAAAAAATAAATAAATGTTGAAAAAAAAAATTTTTAAAAAAAGAGTCCAACTCTTGATTGTGGCTCAGGTCATGATCTCACAGTCGTGAGATGGAGTCCCTCATGGGGCTCCTTGCTGGGCATGGAGTCTGCTTGGGATTCTCTCTCTCTCTCTCTCTCTCTCTCTCTCTCTCTCCCCCACCCCCCGCTCGCACTTGAAAGAAAGAAGGAAGGAAAGGAGGGAGGGAGGAAGAAAACAGAATGTGCTGGGAAACAGCAGCTAATGATAGAGTAAAAGCCATCTGGATTAGAAACACATTTAAAAACTCCGAGATGCTCAAACTTTGCTGTATAGTTGGATGGAAGTATAGATACCTCTAACGTGTCTCTTGGTATTTGCGAGAATCTGTTTCCACAATAAAACACATGAAGAATTATCTTTGTGCAAGCTACTAAAGAAAGGATCAACCCCCAGGCATATATTCCCAAACGTTAAGTGACTTCTTGAATAAAAGTAAGCTTTTCCACCAACTCCGTAAGGGTCGTTGCTGATGCCCCGACTGGAATAAAAAGGAATCCAGGTGAAGTCATAGAGGTGGAGAGCACTCTATGGAAAATTCCCTCACCGCAGCACTCACAGACAAGCTATTGCCCCGAGGAAGTGAAAGTCAGAAGGAGACAAATTGCCAGAGGAAGTCATCATGCGGTTCACTCTATGAAACAAGACCTTTAACATCGAATGGCATCTTTATGGAACGTGATGTCAAAACATCACGAAAATCCCTGGACCCCTTGAGAATTGCGGGCTATGTCTTGGCAAAGAAATGGTCAGACTTATAGATGAGCTATTCTTTTGGGAAAAAAAAAATGGGTGTTTCACATCTGCTGCCTTTTTCTATGATGACAGATGGCTGTCAGTCATATGCTATCTGCTAGAGCTTTTCAACAAAAACCAACCAACCAACCAACCAAACCCCAAAAAAAGCCAAACCCTTCCAAGTATTCCTCTGGAGGCTGACACGCCAGTCCATCCCCCCAAAGGAATAGAAATGTCTTCCCTGTTTTTAAATAGGTTTTTCTTTTTCAAAGTACTTTTTTTTCTTGGGGCACCTGGGTGGCTCAGTCGGTTGAGCATCCGACTTCGGCTCAGGTCATGATCTCACAGTTCATGAGTTCGAGCCCCACATTGGGCTCTGTGCTGACAGCTTAGAGCCTGGAGCCTGCTTCAAATTCTACGTCTCCCTCTTTCTCTGTTCCTCCCCTGCTCATGCTCTGTCTCTCTCTCCTTCAAAAATAAATAAAAACATTAAAAAAAATTTAAAAAAAAAAGTACTTTTTTCTCTTTAACGTACAGGAGAACGTTGTGCGATCGGGTAGGGCAGGTGTCAGCACCAGAATTCTGAGACTTATTTCCTTGTTGGTCAGTCTAGAGTCAGACATCTGCCCGGTTTTGTCTGCTTTTCACTTCAGGCAGGGCTGCTGGTCAGGAGACTTGTACCACAGAGAGAACCTTTTGAAAATGGATGTTTGGAAACAGTTCCATCGTTACGGGATTTGTTGCTAGAAGCCAACTCCATTTGCACACTTAAAAAACTGGAAAACTGGAATTTTCTAATGTACCTTACATCTGTTAGGAACCACTAGCTGACCTCAGGGGAGATGGAAAGCTACCAGCCAAATTTCAACACCAGCATCACACAGTTGGTGAATTTGAGTGAAAAATGAATAGCGTGGTTTCATGAGTGCAATCAAGGATGGCCTTCTTCCATCTTGAGCTGAGATACCTTGTCGGCTATGGCAGCATTAACACCAAGTATCAAAATAAACAGAACTTGGAATTAGACTGTGAATTGTTGTGTCTAGAGGTTTAAAAACTAATAAAATAACCATCGTTATGTAAGATGTAACCTATTAGGAGAAGCGGGGTGATGGACACACAGGACTTCTCTGTGACTGTTTTTTGTAACTTCCTGTAAATCTATAATGACTTGAAAACCCCCCAAAAAAATTAGATAAATAAACAAACGAAGCTTGTTTAATCACATTATAGTGTATAACATTGATATATACAAGAATATAGTCACTGAGGGTCATTTCTAGTAAGAGCAAGTTGGGTCAAGGGTAACCTGGTGAGAGCCAGGGAAGGGATTGCAGCCAAGATGCCATCACAGCTACCCACAGTGGTGACTTGGGGGGACAGAGCCTCACAGCTGTGGAGTGGGTTGTACCCCACTTTTCAGCGTGGGTGACAGAGGAACCCAAGGGCCTTCCAGTGAGGCCCATCTATATCTTCACTCCTTAGCCTCGCCGGTGGTTGAAAATGGCCAGCTGGAGTGTCCCCAAGGGTACAAGAGACTGAATCTCACTCACTGCCAAGGTAAGGATGACCGGGGCCAGGGCTGGGCTTGGGGAGGGGAAAGGATGAAGGTCTGATGATGCCGGGGCACTACCCCCATCCCCAGACAGAAGGAATGGTGTCGCTGAGTGGTCTTCTCTGGGTACCGCTAAGCCCCAGCTTGGGATGCTATGGGGGCTGCTGGTTCCAGGAGCCTAAGGAAGTCGGGGAGATAATGATAGAGCAAGCCTAGAAAGGACCTGGGAGCTGAGCCTGTCCCTCCTCCCATCTCCACCCGTCCCCACTGGACCTGGGCCAGGTGGGTCTCTAGAGCTGTGGGTCTGTGTGTGAAGGTACTGCCCTGGTCCCTACATGTTTACTCACCTCCTGGGCCAATCTCCCTGGATTGGGAGGACTTTTGACTCCAGGATCAAGTCAGCCTGAGTTGATGGGGACCTCTGTGGACTTTCCCCAACACCGCACCTTCAGCTACTCATACCTGCCTCCCACAGCTAGGAGGGGGAAGAAAGAGGGAACAGGGGGCCATAAAGTCTAGCCCATGATCCTTGCTGGCCTGCTGACAGGCTCTCTAAGGCCACCAAGGCCTGGAGCACTCTGTATTACAGAGCCCCCAGAGGGGCAAGGCCCAGAGGCACCTTAGGACAGACGGGTGGGAGGTGGGTCTCAGCTATGGCTTTGTCACTACAGGGAGTTCCAGTGGAGATGGGGAGTGGGACCAGGATGACTGAGGGTCCAGAAGCCTTCACTGAGGGGCAGCTGTTACCACTGTGCCGCTAAGGCTCTGAGCAGGGAGCCGCTGTTGGCTATGGGCCTGGCGGTAGGAGCAGTGAGCAGGGCCTTCCAGCTGGGAGGCTCCTGAGGCTGGCAGAGGTCAGTGGGGAGCTGAGGCAGCCTCCCCTTTGGGGAACTAGACACACTGCTGTCTGTATGACTTGCTTTGAATGAAGCTGGGTTAGAGACAGGGGGTTGACCCAGATGGCTTCCTAGGCACCTCCCCCTGGAGGCTTCTTCAGGAGAGAGGGATCTGAGGGAGTCCAGGGCCGGGGTTGGGGGGTGGGGTGTCTAGGCTGTCTGCTGTGGGGTGCCAGGCCCAAAGGGGATTTCTGGACCATGGATAAAGTGCTTGGACCAGGCAAAAGGGCAGGCCTCTGACCCAGCCCAAGGTCAGACTCCCCTGGGGGCAATGGGGACTAGTAGACTAGACAGTGGGTGTGGAGAGAAGTCTTTAGTTTTGCCCTTGGAGGGTACAGTAGGGCCATTCATATCTCAACTGTCCCCAGTGGCCTCTCCTCCTGGCTGGTTTCCCAGTGCACAGGATTAAAGTTATCCCCAGGATTTCAAATGAGCTCTTAGCCCTCCCTCCACGGAGCCTCAGGAATATAGGAAGTCAGGGGGCCCTCCCCCAGGAGACCCTGCCCCCTAAAACTCCCCCTTCCCATGTCTGTGGGCTTGGTCTCCGTATCTGGGAGGGGACCTGCTCACCTCTACATCCGTGTGCATCACCCTCCTCTCTCTCTCTCTCCAGCCTTCTCTCCTTCCACGGGACAATTTTGGGGTCTTGTCATGAGCTGCATGTGTTGTGCTAGGTGCTTAGTACACAGTGACAGATAAACACAGAAGCTGCCCCAGGTGAATACAGACGCTTAAACCATTACACCCCACGGGAGAAGTGCTCTCACCGGAAAGAAGTTCTGGGTGCTGTGGGATCCCATGGTGGGGACCCCTTCCCAGACTGGGAGGGTAGGAGAGGGGCTTCAGGTGACACCTCACCTCGACTTAAGGAATGAGTAGAGGTGACCAACTAAAGGGGATGCGGGCATTCCAGGCCGAGGAAACAGCACAAGCAAAGGAACAGTTTAGGCCGGCTGGAGTACAGCCTGTGTGCCCACAGGAGACGACACAGACATCCCAGAGCCTCGTCAGGGCCAGCTGCCCACCCACAGGCTGTGGGGAAATATGGTCGAGGGCACTGGATGCACTGTGAGGGTTTAGGAGCTCCCTCTAGGAGGTGAATGGGGACCACAGGCATGTCAGATTTGCATTTAGGTACTTAGACACATCACTATGGCCACAGTCCAGGGGCAGGTGGGTCTGTTCCCTTTCCTAGATCTCAGTGGCATCTCCCCAGGCACCTCCCTCCCAACAGGGTATCCTGCCAAAGAGTAGTTGGGCCATCTTCTAACCCTTCATTCCTGCACTTACTGAACAGGCTTCCCTGAAGCCTATGGGTGAGCGTGCGACTCTGGTGACACTGGGTCGCCATGTCTAATCTCCCGGCCCTGGAGGCAGGAGATCTGCCCCTCACGGATCTTCCTCACTTACCATCATCAACAAGGGTGCCATCACCAAGACTTCTTGGAGCTTAGAGTAAGGGTTGGGATTTCCCCTTGGCAGGAAGAAGTTTCCAGCATGAAATGTTTTTGAGATCAGAAGGGAAGCTAATGTCACTCCCTTGTTTGAAGAACAGCATGTGCCCCCACTGGTCTTGGAGGATGTGTGGGGCCTGCCTGAGGCCTTCCACCTCCTGGAAACATAGCCTCTGGCCTCCTGCCTCCTCGACCTTGCTGGGCCCCTCTGTCCTGCGGATGTGTCCCCCAGACCTGCAGAGATGCTTCAGAGTCTCTCCAGGAAGGCTGAATAGGAGGGACTGGGCAGATGATTCTCCACTCTCCAGCCCGAACTGTGCCCTTATCCGCTCCCCCCGTATGCATCCCAGCATGCTACTTACTAGCTGGGTGCCTTTAAGCAAGTTACTCCTGGAACCTGCTTCCTCACCTATAAGATGAAGCCCCATGGACCTACTTGATAAAATTGTTGGTAAGAACTGAATGGGGTATCATAGGTCAGCCACCTCGCCTGGTACCTGGCGCATAATATGCACTCAATAAACATTCACTTTTAATATTATGACCATTATTACCAGTTAGTGGACTAAGTGATTTGCAATTTTTATCTTGTTTTATTCTCCTAATAAGACCATCTGGTAGTTACTATTTTTTTTTTTTAAGCGTTTATTTCTGAGACAGAGAGAGACAGAGCATAAGTGGGGGATGGGCAGAGAGAGAGGGAGACACAGAATCCGAAACAGGCTCCAGGCTCTGAGCTGTCAGCACAGAGCCCGACGCGGGGCTCGAACTCACAAACCGCGAGGTCATGACCTGAGCTGAAGTCGGTCACTCAACCGACTGAGCCACGCAGGCGCCCCTGGTAGTTACTACTAATGTCCCCATTTTATGAATTAGGAAACGGAGGTACAGAGAGAGGGACCACACTTAATAGATGGCAGCTCCATTGTCTTTTTTTTTTTTTTTTTGAGAAAGTGTTTGCAGAGCTCTGCACCGGCCCCTCCCCTCCGTCCAGCCTCGGTGGGGCGGGCGCTTGCTCACCTCCTCCAACCCCACAGATATCAACGAGTGCCTGACCCTGGGCCTGTGCAAGGACTCGGAATGCGTGAACACCAGGGGGAGTTACCTATGCACCTGCAGGCCTGGTCTCATGCTGGACCCGTCCAGGAGCCGCTGTGTGTGTAAGTGCTGGCAGGGGCCAGGGGTGGGGGACACAGGGAGGCAAGATGGGATCCTCAGGGTCCCCCGGCCAGGCCCAGAGCAGTAATTTCCCCCAGGCTCCATCCCAAGGCCCGGGACCTGTGTCTCAACCGGGAGCTGGGCCCGATGTACAAAACTGACCTGCCCCCCGCCTGCTGGAGCAGAGATGGTTACGACTTCAGTTTGGGTTTTTGGCATTTCTTTGGGGGCTTTGCGGCTGGGGATTTTCTGCTTCTGTTTATTCTCTAATCCTTTCTGTCCTATCTGTTGCCTCATTTACTTTGAGGGGGCGGGTGCGTGTGTCGCCTCTGTTCTGATGTCTGGCTGAGCTGTGGCTGCCTCTTCCAGGGCCCGAGCTTAGCAGCCTGGTCACTTGGCTGCAGCCCTTTCTTAAAGGGCCTGTCTGGAGCGTGAAGGCCTGCTGCCTGACCCCCAGGCCTTTCCTTAAAACGCGCGTCCCTTATGGTTCAGAACGTGTGTCTGTATATGTGCATGTGTGCACCCCCATCCAGCTGTTTCCAGCGGCCTCTGTGGTTTCCTGCTAGGAGAGGCCCAGGCTGGCAGCACCCCCAGGTAGCAGGACTGACGCCACGGCCCAGACAGGGCTCTCCTTGGGCAGGGAGGCCTGACCAGAACTGAATAAAACCAGTCCCGACTGGCATTTGGAAAGTGGCAGCCCAGCTCAGCAGAGCTCCCTGGGGCTGGCCAAGCCCTTGGCCTACAAACCGCCAGGTACCGGGTCTGGGGAGGCCACAGGATGAGCAAGACTCCAGTGCCACCCAGAGGGAGCGTCCATGTGAAGGGAAAGAGGAGACTGGACCCAGTAAGCGTCTCCAGAGAGAGGAGACAGTAAAAAAGGCTTAAGAGGGGACGCCCAGAGAGTGAGGAATCCCAGAGTGGGGAGAACACGTCTGGCGGCTCTCAGGAAGACTTGATGGTGACCAGACATGTGATCAAGGCCTCAAGAGACGTATAGCACTTTCTTCTCATCTCACCCCCCACTTAAGATTCCTTTATTAGGCAGGCATATTTCACACCTGAAGTGACTTTGACTTGTTAGTGCCAGAAAGAAAGCCTTAATACAGGGAGGCAGAGATGGCCCTTGGGTGTTCTTTATTGTTTCTCCCTGCCTACTGTTACCCCCTCCAGCTGATGATTTACCTCCCTGTAGGCAGAGAGGGGCAGGCATGAAGTTTCTCTTCTCTTCATTTCTGAACTTTGCCCTCTTCCCTGCCACCTGACCAGGGCCAGTTAGGGCAGTCTACAAGGGTCCCTCTGTGCTGGGGCAGTCTCCTGATACTTTCAGCCAGGTCACCTCCACCCTGGGGCTCAAAAGGACCGAGTGCCACCACACTGGTGGTGCAGAGCCTGCTTGGGATTCTCTCTCTC